GCGACGATGGCAGCGACGGCGGCGACGATGGCAGCGACGGCGGCGACGATGGCAGCGACGGCGGCGACGATGGCAGCGACGGCGGCGACGATGGCGATGAGAGCTGCGAGGCAACCAAGACAGTCACATCATGCGGGGTGCTTTGCACAGCGACAGCAGCCTTTACAACAACCTACACCGGCGAGTGCTCGACAACAAGCTGCGCAACAACCAGCTGTGGCGTGGACACAACAGTGACCAAGACGACGACGACGACAATCGAAAACTTCGCGACGCTGACGGCAGAAGCCACCGATTACATCTGGACGCCGGACACAACGGACGCGTTTGCGACCACCGTCTGGCTCGATTGGCTCAGTTGGTCGTCTGCGGAGGACGCGGCTGCTTCGGCCACGGCCACGGCAACAGCCACGCCCACACCCACCCGCGGCGTCCAGATCTGGTGGTACCTCGACGAGCACGAGACCGACAACAACAGATGGTTGCTGTACGAGTACAGCGGTAAATCAGGCTCAAATACCAAGAGATGCCCTGAACTCTACCCACCGGATTTCAGCATGAGGGGGACGGGCCCGCAGATGAACAGCGAGATCTCGGGCTTCGAGGCGTATGGCGCGACCTGTACGTATGAGCCTACGACTGGGACCGATGCGGTGGGCAAGTTCGTTTGCACAGGGTTGGATGATGCGCTGTGCTATACGACCAGTGGGTATGGAGGGACGTGTGCGGAGGGGTGGTTGTCGACGGAGGAGGTGAGGGATTGTAAGTGGTATGCCTCTTGAGTAAGACACCCTTACCTGTGCAATGTTGTATTAGTTATATCAGATTTAGACATTCTTGGCTGGGATAACAAAACCTAACACTGTCCTGTCTTAGACCTCAGGGGTCTCGCAACAAGATGTCCATCCGGTAACAAACAGGAGAATGGCACTTGGGTTCGTTATCTATCCAGTGATTAGCGGCGAGTGATCTACACGATATGGCAACCAACGCAAGAACGGCAAGTCGCTGGATCTGAATCCGAGATACCCAATTTTGATACCTCGTGCCACGTACATATGACCCAGTCTGGGTGCCCCGTCGAGATGCCGTGGGTGAAATCAACCCCGACACTGGTGCATGCATGATTCAGTGACCAGGAGACAGGGAGCTCAATTGCAGGGGTGTTCCTCGCAAAGTAAATCCCAGCGGTTGCTTGTCCGTGACGCTTCCAGGGCGATTGGAATATACACCGACTTGGGTGTCTTCGTCGCGTACCGGTACTTGAGAAGCTGAGGTCACCTCCTCTCTTCCACTTTAGGCACGACCTTCGATCCGCATCGTCCAAGTATTCCAGACCGTTCGTTTCCAGAGTATTATGGCTGGATGGGAAGAATCCGAACTCGTCTGAGGCAACAGTCGAGATTCGCACTACCGGTGGCCGAGGCGGGCACGAGGAGGTGCAATTGTACATTCAAGACGTCGAGTGTGTAGCGGCACGGCCGGGGGAAGAGTTGGAAGCCTTCAACAGCGTCTGGATTCTCCGCGGCGAAACAGCTGTGGTGCGGCTGACGCTGGACAAGGACGCGGTTTCGTACTGGGACGAGACGGATGCATGGCTGGCAAAAAAGGCAAAGTTCAGCGGACTATCTCTAAGATACTGGCCCCAGAGGGTACGTACTCACTGATAGTTTCAAGTGGGTTGGAGAGTTGATGAGAAATGAAAGTCAAAGTCGCGTGTTTGTGTTGTTCCCTTTTCGGCAGGTGCGGGGTACTTACGTAAGCATCTTTCCTCGGGGTCTTTTGTTCGCTCCCCCAGGAGTTAGTCTTTTTCGACAGGGTACGGTAAATCAACTATTTGACAGGGCTTTCTGAAGCGGAACCCCAATTAGAAACGGGCCGGATATACTGTTTTTCCGGCCAAGTTGGCCATGTTTTAACTCTAGTCTCCTTATGTAATTAATAGTGATTTTTGTTAAGAACCGTGGGCTAAAATTTATATAATAGTTTTATATAAATTTAAGCTATAAATACTAAAAATAATAAACTAGAAATCTAGCCTAAAAATAATAATAGCTTTATTTTTAAATATATTCCTGCCCCTAATATTAACCCCGCTAAATTTAATTTTAAACGCCTGGAGGCCTTTTATTAGTTAATATAAGTATTACTTTAATAATTAAAACTTACGTATGTTTAGCCTGCAGTTTAAATACTAAATTTTATATAAAAAGTTAGAATTTAAAGCGCTGCGCGCGCGGAGCATTTTATCACTAAGCTATGCCTAATTAAAAAGCGGCAACGGGCTAATTATATCAGCACCTATTCCCAATTGGGGTTCCGCTTTAGAAAGCCCTGTCAAATAGTTAATTTACCCTGTTGAAAAAGACTGACTCCTCCCCCAGTTCCCTCCGTTCCCATCACAGTGACTAAAGCCGGCCAAGAGGCGATCTATGTTGAATTAAAGCCTTGTGCAGGGATTGAACGCCTCTAATCCAGTTTTCAGATCTCTACCTAGACCGTCGTACAGATGGGTATCACCACGCCTGCCGATATATATTTCCTGGAGCTTGTCCTGATCTAGGGACGGGCCCACAGCCAATAGGTTTTTAAGGCCTAGGGTATATGCTAACATAGCTATGACCTTCCATGAGGCTGGATGAAGGACAGACGCTTGGTTAATCTTTGGCCCCGACGCTGTGTTTCGTGGCACACATAGCAAGCCAAGTAATACATCACAGCAGTGGACTGATCTACGTCTCGGCGGCGATAACCATCGAATCTCTCTCTTGGACGCGGTCCGAGCCTTCTCGCTCATTACAGCAGTCCGTTCCTCGATTGGGATTAGGGGCTGGAGATCTGCGATCCCTGCGTTCTTGGTGCTGTAGCGGAATGCTTTCTGCGTACATCAAAGCTTGCCTTCCTGTCAATGACGGCGGAGTTTTCTGCCTATTATATAAGCTAGGCGGTCAACGTCTTTTGTACTTAGCAAACCTTAATTAGTAAGAACTTAGGAATATTATTATTTTTTACTTTATAAAACCCTGCCCTTTATAGTAGTAGCATGTTTAAGTTAATTAACTATTAAAAACTAGAAATTATATAGTTATTTATTATTCCTGGGTTTTTTTATTTAATATATTTATATACCTTACCTTTATTAATATTTAACTAATATTTAGTAAGCTTTACTATACTAAAACTTTTATTAATTAATTACCTTGCTAATTTACTATTTTACCCCTTTATTATTTAAAATTTACTTTCTCTTGGTATCCTACACTTTTAAACTTTTTTAAATCTTTTTTTTTTTACCCTTTAAGTCTTTTTTTTTTACCCTTTAATATTATTATAAGGTGCTTTCTTTTTTTACTAAAGCTTTTTATAAATTTTATTTTTTATTACCACCTTTATAACCCCGCTTTTAATACCTTAGTTTTTTTAAAATTTTTATAATAATTTAAATTAATAATTAGTATAATTAATATCTAGCTAAAGGTTAGCCAAGCTTACTTATTAATTAAATACTTTTAAAAAAATAAAACATGCTTTTACTATTAATTTTAACTATATTATAAAATACTTAATCCTTTTTTTTATTAAGTATTTTAACACTTTTTTATTTATTTAGTTTACCCTGTACCCCCTTGGCTAGGATCTTAATTAATTTATACTGTAAGGGCGCCCTAGCACCCAGATGTTCTCTACTAATAATAATAAAGCTTGGCAAAGTATCTTTAACCAATAAGAATAAAGTATTCAGAACCTTGATAAATTTAACTAAAAGGATTACTTGGAGAACTAGATACATAATAGCCTTTAGCCTTTTTATATAGGCCTTGCCTAAAGGCCTAAGGCCTTTAAGTAATTTTTTAAGCTATTTTTATTTAAAAAGTAGGTGGTATTTAAATATCTTTATATTCACGCCTTTTATAGCTATTTTTTAATTATTAAGGTAATTTAATATAAGGCACGCCTTTATTTTATTACTTAAATAATACCTAAAACCTAAGGTCCCTAAGCTAAGGTCCCTAATTAAAGCTAATATTATATTAAACCTAATATTATATTAAATTTAATATTATATTAAGTCTTGTATAGTAATTTATAATAATAAGGTTTATTAAGTTAAATAAGTACCTAAAATATTTTATATAAGTAATATTAATACTTCACGGTGGTATAACCTAGGTGCCTTAAATATTACTTAATAATATAACCTAAATTAATATTAACCCTAATAATTCCTCCCCCCTTAAAAAAATAGATTATTCACGATCCAGCGCTAGCTATTTTAAAAAAATAATAAATAAGTAATTTATAATACTAACTTATTATTATATTATAATATAATAGCGTTTTTTATTATTACTATTTTTATTATTTATTATTTTTAGTCTAAAATATTAAATAATATTTAATATTTTATTTAAAATACCTTATTACTTATTTACTTTTAAAAAGGTGCCTGGCTATAAAAATAGCTTTCTTATTAATTTAACCTAAGTCTAGTTTTTTTAAAACTTTAAACCTTAAATTACTTTTATATAACTAAACTATATAACTTTATTTTAGCTCTTGTTTTACCTTTTTACCTTATTTTTTATTTTAATTATACTTAAGTAAAATTATTCTTTTTTTAATGCAGCGCTACGCTTTATTAATATTAAAAAAGCATGGCTAGTAGCTTTTTTTATTAAAAACTAAAAAAATAAGGTTTAAATAAAACCTTAAGGGGCCCTTGCTTTTAAAAATTATTTTTTTTTTAGCTATTTACCTAGTTACTTCCCTAGTGGTAAGTCCCTTAAATAATTTTAAATAAAGTTTTTAAGGCTTTTTTTTAAGTAATAATAAATAACTAACTATAAATAACACCCTTTTATTTTATTAATTTTAAAAATAATCCTTTTTTTAGCCTATGTTTATATACAGGGCTTTATTTTAATAATAAGTATTTTTTTATTTATAATAGCTTATTTAAAGGTATTTTAGTAATAATATATTAATATTAAAACATGCTAACTTAAAACTTATTAAAATTAGTAACTTATTTTATTATTATTTTTTATCCCCCGCTGGGCTACTATTAATTAACTTATAAATAATATATATAATTATTATAGGCTTTTTAAGCCTAATAATATATTTTTTAATTTTTTTTTTTACTTATTAAGTATTTTAAATAAAAATATTTTAAATAATAATAATAATAATATTAATAATAATACTAATACTGCTATATTTTTTATAATTACCCCCTTTAATTTTATTTTTTTTACTTTAACTTTTTTTACTTTTGTTACAGCTAGCCCCGCCCTTTTAATAAAAATAAGTTTTTTTTACCTTCTTTTAAATAGCTTCTAGTATAAATAGCTAATAGCTTTTAAATATACCTTAAATATACTAAAATAATTTTTTATAATAGTAAAAAAATAAAAAATAAAAATAATTAATAAATTTTTATTACTAGTAATAAACTAGTAATATTTCTTAAGGGAAACCTTTATAAGCCTTATTATAATTATATTTTTTAGGATTTAGGTTTAATATATATTTAATATTATAATAATAGTAATAAGTATAAGCTTATCCCTATTTATATATATAATAATATTAATATTTTATAATACTTACCCGCTAATAAAAACTTAAAAAAATATATAAGCATGTAAAAAATATTTAATAAGCATGTAAAAAATATTATTAAGGCTTTTAATAAGGTACTAGTAAAAGTTTAGTTTATAAATAACCTATATTATATTATTTTTATACTTATTAATAAGCTTTGCTTATTTACTAGCAAGACTTTAGTTACTTTTAATAAAAAATATTAAAAAATATATAATAAAAATATATTTAATATAACTAATTTTAGTATTATAATAATTTTAAATTTTATTTTTTAAAAGCTTTTTATTTTTGTTCATGCCCTTTTTTAAAATTTTATATTTATTTATACTTTTAGTATATAGCTAGCTATTTAGGTTAGTAACCTAGTATTACTTTAATATTTTATTTATTTTTTATTTTTAAAAAAAAACTTTTTTTTTTTTAATATGCTTTTATAAATATAACTTGTAAATTTTAATAGTTTAAAGCTATTTAGGTTATAATTTATTAAATCTTAAAACTATATAAAATAAAAAAAAAAGGTAACTATTTTTATTTAAGTTTTTAATATATAAGTTTAATATTATTTTTAAGACTACAGGTAGTCCGGATCCTATTAAAAGGTGTTTTATTTATAATAATAATTTATTAAACCTTTAAACCTTTTAAAATATAGGAAAAAGGTAACCACTCCACTAATTTTTTAGCTTTAGTAATATAAAAACCTAGTAAGTAAAAAATTATTATTACTTTTTTTTAAATTAGGGGTATTTTAGTACTATTTTAATTAGTTTATAATAATTTTTTAAAGCCTTTTATACATGCTTAAAATTTTTAAGTAGCTTTTATAAATTTTTATAACTAGGCTAGTTTTTTTATTTAACTAAAAACTAGTTTAGTTTATAAGCATGTTATTTAATAAAAATAGCTTTAACTTTTTATTCTTACTTTTTATTAATAAGTTTTATATTAGGTATTTTTTTATTCTCCTTAAATCCGGGTTGCTTGGTGTAAGGCCTTAGTAAAAATATTTATTTAAACTTTTAGTATATAGCTAGCTATTTAGGTTAGTAGCCTAGTATTACTTTAATATTTTATTTATTTTTTATTTTTAAAAAAAGACTTTTTTTTCTTTTTAATATGCTTTTATAAATATAACTTGTAAATTTTAATAGTTTAAAGCTATTTAGGTTATAATTTATTAAATCTTAAAATTATATAAAATAAAAAAAAAAGGTAACTATTTTTACCTAGGTTTTTAATATATAAGTTTAATATTATTTTTAGGGCTACAGGTAGTCCGGATTTTATTAAAAAATGTTTTATTTAT